TGTGTGTATGTATGTATGTATGTATGTATGTATGTATATATATATAGATATGTGTGTGTGCGAATGAAATACACACATTTAAACCCAAATATATATATATATATATAAACCGTACGAAACACTTTGACATCCACAGCGCCATCTACCACCCCCCGACAACCGATGGTGAAACGCGTGCGCAAATCTTCGCCGTCCATACCTAACGCTACCAGCGGAGTTCGGCCCAGGCCCATGATGGCACCGGGTGCAGTAAGGCCCGGGAATCCTACTATGGGGTCTAGTATGGGGCCAAAAAATGGGCCTAAAAGCGCTCCGTCAATGGGAGGTGTAAAGAGTGCCTCGCCAGCCGAGGATAACAACAGGGAAATCATGAGAGTGATTGCAACGGAGATCGAAAAGCCAACACCTGGTAAGCAAATGTTGTCTATGTACAACAATAACTGTATAAACTGATGTATTTCATTGGTTGGTATTTAAACGCATTGGCATACCCATTTCTAGTGTTAAATTGGTAGCTTTCACCAGGTTCGTGTACTATCATAAGCAAACTCAGCATCGTAGAAGGCGATAACCCCATCAGACGAACACACTTGATTGGTTGATATTTAAACCTTTTTATTATACATACTTGTGTAGATTTTGTTTTTGTTTTTCGGACCAGACACACGCACGACCATCAACAACCTGAACGTTTTGCAAGGCAGCAACTACACCAAACGAATGCACTTTCAAACCTACATCCAAGGGGCTCACTTGATTGGTCTATATATTCATAGTCTGTTCTGCTATTAAGCTCATGTGTAGTGCTTGTTTGTTTTCTCCCCTCAGATACACGCAAGATCATCAACAACCTCAACGTTTTGCAAGGCAACAACTACACCAAACGAACGCATGTGCAGGACTGCATACAACGAGCGACCCGTAGTAGCAATACCAATCTGGTCGCGCTACTTTCTGGGATCCTGGACAGCTATAAATAGACGTCTAGGCCTTATGGTTTAGGGTTTCTTGTGGGGATGTTCAATAAATCAATACGTATTTACGGCAAATTATTGCATAGGTCTATTGCGTGTGGTGTGTGGCATTCGTTCTCTGTGTACAGAAGCTGAGCATTATTGTGTACTGAATATTGTTTTAGATGTAGTTGGTGTGAAGTGCAGTGTAGCACGTTAGGCAAATGTGCTATTGTAGCATGCCTATCTGGACGAATGAGAATATGGCTGAACGGACCAAGATGGCCATGACTGTAGCTTAGCGTTTATATTAATAACAGGCTCACTCGGTTCCAAATGATGTACTATTCAACAACCCCGTCTGTGGTTCGTACTACGCATTCCCAGCAGTAAACAATGCTGTTTTGCGGCTCAACCCTGATGAGGGTTTGAAGTGCTGGTGAACATATATTCTAGGGCTAAACGCTTTAGTTTCGCGAACATGGGTTTAAGGGGTTGTAGGATTTAGCAGTGAATATCAAAGTTTGTCTTAAAATCGGTATCAGCAAATATTAAAGTCTGCGTTGCAACGTGTTTGGATCACCATCAAAAAGGTTATTTTGGAATACACAATAAGTCGTAGTCAGTACTTGCGTAGATTGTATCTGGAACGAGGTACTATACTTCCGAAACAGTTAATATTTAAATAGCTCAGAGTGGCCCACACTACACCCCCTATACAGCCCTCTGGTAAAGGTGCACTTTGCCACATATTTTTAGTTCTCTATTGCTCTACTGCTTCGCTTTTCGTACAATGACGATATAAATGGAATTTATGTGCATAAAACATGTACTGCTACTACGCCCGATTTGCATTGGATACTATATTTTACTTGGAACTATTAAAACTTTTGTAACTCTTATGAATTATATTGAACACAAAAACCGAATTGTATCTATCAGGATCAACGGAATTTTACCGATTCGGATTGTGCTACCTGATACAACTTCTTTAGCAAAGAATCTCGTGCATTCTTCAAAGGTTTTAACTTTATTGGTCGTATTTTTTAACAAAAAAAGCTACATCTATGGCAAAAAAAATTGCATAGGGAGTTGCATAGTGCGGTAAATTGTAGTTTATAGACTAACACTAAATCGTATGCGCTGCCACTAAAAACACCTCAGCCAGAGAATGCGCATCCTTAGTATAAGAAAATAGACCATACCCATAGCAACGCTGTCATGTACTTGGGTCGTAGTACTCGTGGTATTAAGTAGATCTACATACAAACTGCTTTCCCACAAGGTCTCAAGAGAGTGCGTAAATTATATTGTAATCCATCTGCGTTCTCCTTTTGTCGACTTTCACCCAAAAACCTTTTTGATTGTGCCCAGGTAATTTGTCATTTTATGGTTCAAAGGATTGCCATTTTCAGAGCTATCTCGCTCAGTCTCGCGACAGTTGAGACAAACAACAAGCCCAAAGTGTTTCCCGTATAAGCCCATCGTGGCTGTCACCGGATCATCGTTATTCATCACACGCACCTGTGTGAAGGCGCGGTGAAATAAATCTGAGCTCGCATCTTCCAATATCCGAGGTGCTCCAAACGTGAACAAATCCACAGTGAAGCGCGAATGCACGTGATATGAAGTGGCAAGTAGAGTAGCAATTGCTGCTCCGCGCGAGTGACCCACGAAATTAATGTGGTTGACGTTGCTGCATAAACGGTTGACCATCTCATGCATACCCGTCGCTGCGAATGTATTATACGCGTCTACAAACCCACTATGCGCTGTTCCCACGTAGTGACCATCATAATAATAATTGGATTTAAAGAACTGAACGTTGGAGATCCAGTCGGACAAACTGTCGGTCGCCTGGACTACAACGTAACATTCCGCATCGTGAATTTGAACCTTGAAAGCATCACTGCCGAACTCATAAGGATACGGGTCACTAACAAACCCAGCAGCGACAAGGGTTTTCTGCTCAAGCCATGAGCTGATTGTTTCGGTAACGTAATCATAGAATTCCCAGTCCTCGTCAAAGATGCCAAAAAATCGGGGCTGTGGTTCGTCACCATCAAGTGTTTGGTTTCTGGGCAGAATACCTCGTACGCGATTCTCAAAGCCTTGTGCAAGAGGCTCACCCTCGTGAGGCACTATTCCCATTGCTGCAACGGAAGCCAAGATCGAAATGCTTACAAGTTTGAACATCGTGTTGGAGGAGTGAAGTAAAATATAGAATCTACTACCCTTTATACGCAATACACGCACAACCTAACTGATATATGGCCGAGCCGCTGTTCCCCAAGTCCTCCAGTTCTAAATTTTCAAGTTGTCGAAAAGTTATTTGGATTGTGGGACAGTGAGACTTCCAGCGTTGCAGACCGGTCACCGGACCTGAAAATGCAATAGAGTAAGAACTTCACTCAGAAGATGGAAGAATCTGTCGTCGTTGAAGCACATGGTCAATATATAATTTACACTGTTGTACATTCAAGAAAAAAAAGTTAAACTCCTATATTTCACTTTTAAGTCCAAAAAAAGTACATTTATAGACATGAAATATGACACGTGTATTTTGTTTTACAAAATAAATAGAAAAGGAAGTGAAAATGGAAAAAAAATAGTACAGTACAGACTACAGACTAGTACATACAGTACAGACTACAGTACATATGTACATAAATATTTAGAGGACTCTTTTTTAAGACAACGGCTGTTATTGAAGTGTTACGCCTATGTAACACTTAAGCGCCCGACTAAGACTCCCTCCGTTAAGCGCCCCACTAAGACTTCCTCGGATAAGCGTCCCGCTCTCGCCCCCAGCAAATTAAGCGCCCCGCTCTCGCCCCCCTCCAAATTATGGAGGCATATTAAGTTACCAGACACTTCGATAGCCGGTCACATAGCCGGTCCCGGGATCTTAAGATTTTTTTGTCAGATATCTTAAGATGACGGACAGTCCAAAAATAGGGTATATTCATATTTGTGTGTGTAGGGGGGGTGGGGGAGAATGAGGGTGGGCTTTGTCTTCTTCCAACTTTGGATTTGCAATATTAAATATCTGATAGACACAAACATCTCCAGCCAAAACATACTAGAGAGACTGCTAGAAATACACCGTGATGTAGCAACCCGTGGCCTTTGAGGCGCCAGTATACCTTGCTTGACTCAGTAGATTCTGCTATGCTTAATCGTGCACAACCTCCCCCCAGGGCCTTGGTCTCTTCATCTGCTTTGTCGCTACGTTGTAAACATTCCCGTCTGTGTGATTAAAGAAAGCTACAATGCTGATCGGCGCCCGCGCATCAGCTCAGCACGAGAGGGGGGCGAGAAAGAGATATAGATAACAGGTATGATTCACAATAAGTTCCGAGGTTTGTGCCCCCCATATTGGCCATGCCAGTTGGTGTCGGGTGTCAACTTGACACTAACAGTGCCAAAATTCAAAATTGGGACCCATTGATCGGCTAGAACATATCTGTTCGTAGGTGGGAAGTGTAGGTTGCACTAATTGTGGTGGCGTGTGTAGGTGGCTCTATTTATGGTGGTTTCAAGATTTCTCCAGATTGTTTGTTTTGTTTTTTGAAAAAACAATCAAGACGACAAAAACCTCTGTATTTACACAAAACAGAGGCCTCTCTAAATCTATTGAGTAATGACTCTTTTTGCTTTGAGAGAGAAAAATTTTACAATCTAATTTCAAAACAAATCAACTTCCAGTTTAGTTCTATTAATGATCTTGTTCAATTATATTTGAAAATTGATATATATGAGCAGCAAGAATCCAACTCTGGATAAAATATATGTGACGAAATAGGAATGAAATGCAACAGCACTTTTTTTTTATCTTGTTCTGAAGTTCATCATCCAATAATACGATTATATATACTATTTACTACAGATTGCTGAAAAGGAGTAAGCAATTCACCGAGTTCAGCTAGATTCCATAGAATCTTACAAATGTAATTATGAATCTACTATTTATAGCTTCTGAGTTTCAGTTACACTCCAACATCGTACTTTGCACTCAGCAGGGCAAAATAGTTTTACTACATATTTACATGTATTATTTTGTCTAATTTAGAAGGCTGTATTTTTTGTTTTTTATATCTGAGTCTATTTGAGAAGAAGGCTATGAGTATGTTTGATACACATCCTTTTTAAATCTTTTGAAACATGAAGTCTGTTTTTTTTATAGACAAAAATGGTCTTGTGAGGAACTGATAGTTTATATTTACGCAGGAGTGCACAAGGCTGGAATAAAAAAATACATCAGTGAATACTGTTTTTTTTAAACGGGATAAAAAAGTGCGTCAGTGATTCCTAATTAAAAATCACGCCAATTCAATGTAGTGCAACCTGTGTCGGGTTCGGCAATGTCATGCTCTTTCTCTATGTACATTGTGCGTCATCAGTGTTACTGTCTCACAGTGACTGAAGTCTATTCACACAAGAGAAGAGAAAAAGAAAACAAATCAGTGTATCCTTGTTCAATTTAGAAGGCTATGAAATCAGCATAGCCTTAGGCTATGAAATTCAAATCAGCCACATAAATATTTTGAATTTTCACTTCTATGCAGTATGTGGCCCTGCCTTAGTAGAGTAGGACTGGGCTGATAGACCTGGACTGGCAGACTAGAGTAGAGAGGTTTGATGAGTGAGGACTGAGACTCATTAGAGTACAGGGTTATGAGAAAGACCGTCGGACAACTGCTGATGATACAACCTGGCCCTTGGCCCTGGGCCCGGGGAGTGGGGAGTTGGGAGCCTTTAAGCTCTTGGGGGTGCTGGCCGCAGGCAGATATGTATGTATGGTAGGCTGATTTACGATACTTGCTCAAGTGCTGAGCTGAGTAGCGAGTACAGACTGCAGAGTGCACCATAGCCAACTGAGGACTATCTGCAGTGAGGAGTCTGGGACTCCTAGTACTGGTAATGCTGGACTGCGCAGTACTGGCTCCTGCTACTTAATGCTTTCACACCTAGCTTTCTATGTTTGATTTAGGAGGCTATGCTTCACAGCCATTTGTGACCGTGATAGGTGACGTGACGCCTGGTGAGTGGTGACGGTGGTATACTGGCCGTGGGGTGTGGACTGTGGACTGTGGATTCTGTGGAGTTTGGATCAGTCTCGTGGCCGGCGGTTGGCTGTTGGCTTGGGTCGTGGAAGTTAGAGTGGAACTTTGGAAGTTGGACAAGGACTGAGTCAGGAGCCACGACTCGAGGAGTCGGGAATCGTTGAGTACATATGTGTTTTTATTTATTATTATTTTTGGTTATGTAAAATTGTAAATAGATTATTAATTTTTTTGTCAACAAACTCTATTTTTTTATCAACAAAATCTCTGGGAATTATATTTATTTGGATTTTATATAAAAAAATGTATTTAATTATATATTTATATATATTGTTTTTCTAAAAACCTGGCCTGGTATACGACAAAGCTATGAATTCGTAGCAAACTAATTTGAGTAATTTCCGACATATCGCAATAAGTCCTCGTAGGATAATAATCGGACTTCTAACTGTAATAAAAGACGTGCTGTCCGGACATGTCGCCGTAGTGAAGTAGTGTGCCACGGTCTCAACATGTCGTCATCGTAATAAACGAAAAGTGCTGAATATGTACATATGTATACATATATATATATTTCTTTGGTTTTTTAAAAACAAAACAAAATTATTTTTTACATCGACCAAACTCATAAAGAAATAAATATTTACCTGTAGCTTGTAAATACATTATGTTGTGCTCAATTTTGCACTCCCTTTTAAAAGTGTTACATTCGATTATATGCATATACATAGCCAATCGGACAAGAATATTGTCGTTGTCCGAATTTTAGTGCTATTTCAATAGCTGCGGCTATTAGAAACCTTATCGATTTGTATCACCAAGTTTTTGATGAGTTAGCTGCAGCTGTTAGAATAATATGCCAATGAGAATATCACTAAGACAGATGTTCTAACAGCCTCACCTATTTACATATAAGCTACACCTATTTACATAATACTATACCAATACCTGTTGCTATTATACATACCTATCAATGAGTATTTCTGAATTTTAGCATTATGCCAAACAAAAACATCTGTCGATGAGTATCGCTAACCTTTGGTATTATGTAGCTGATAAATAGCTGTAGCTGTTAAAAAGACTTGTCGATGACAGTATCCCTAAGTTGCCTTGTTATGTCGATAGCCGTGGCTGTTAAAACCATATGTTTTATGAATATCAATAGTTGTCTGTTAGAATGCTGTGCCGATGAGTATCGTTCATTAACACTATACTTCCAGCAGTACCGCATCCACCGCAGAGCTCGAACATAATGTTTCTTTATTGTTCATGCCTGCTTAGAATACCTGTTTTGTATTTTAATACTTCAACTTTATTGATGTCATGTACAACATAACCGAATATCATAATAAACCGATTCAATTGTGATTCCATTGTTGGGTCGCGTCAGTCCAGGCTGAGATTTCTCAGAGCCTTTTCTAGTGTTGCGGAGGGTTTGGCTGGTGCGGGTGTTCGCACAATACTGTGTGTGCCGTTGGGACTGCCAACCCTTCGGCTGGGCGTTGAGACCTTGAGTGTTCGGAATGTAGGTGGCTGCTTGGATATAAGCGAAGATACAGATTTAGAACCCAAAAAAGGTATTATAGATCTACA